ATTAAAAGAAAGTGGCAAAGTTTAGGTGATACTGAACTAATAGACTTTCAAATTCACAAAAATCCATTATTCGATCTGGTATTAGGACAAGATTAGTTATAGATGCGTGAAGCAAAAATAAGCTTTGGACATTCTCCCAAAACCCATGTCCGCTATGCTAAAATTGTAATAGATAATATGAGCATCCCGTTATTCGATGAAGATTTTAACAAAGCCAGCTCCACTAAAAATAATTTATCTAAATTAACAGAATCTAAACCTGGTCTAGCTCAAGAGAAGGTTATAAATACAATTAACAAAATTCTCTCAAATATTGGAGATAGACCCAAAGGGTCATTGCTTTGCAACATACCTTCTACACATCTACCATCCAGAAGATTAAATGATGATGTTTTCAAAAATAAGAGTAAGAAAAATAATGTCAAATATTCCACAGATGCTTCTTCTAATTCAGACACTTCAGATAGCGATTCAAGTAATTCTTTCACATCTAGTTCAGAAATAGAAGTTACACATATGCATAAGACTAGAGTAGTAAAGAAACGCCCTATTCGAAAGCGTAAAGTAAAAGGTAAAGTTAATTATCGAGCTTAATGATCTTATATATAGCCACAAAGTGAAGTAAATCACATCACGTTATAATGGACCTCAAGGGAGCAATGTTATGTATTTTAAATCTATGAATTGGAGATTAGCATAGAAGTATTTTAGTACTAACCAACTCACTAACCACAACTATTACAGAGTAATAACCTTTTGGGTCTACCCTTAAGCTAAATTATTTATTCACAATTGCCAGCAAAGATCGAGCAATTCCCCCTATACTAAATAATTCGTGAATAAATTGATCACTGAATCTGAAATTAGTTTTTTAAAAATCTGCAAATTAGGTTTGTTAGTCGTGAGAAATAAACTATATAAAAAAGCTAAGTATAAGTAATTTCATTGTTAAAAACTTATCTGGTATCTAATCATTATTATGTCTCTTACTAATCTCCAAAACTTCACTTTTAATATTTTAAAAGAAACAAAACATTACATAGTACAAGATATCGTTGTTACAGAATTGCCACTATGTAAACTATGTGAAAACAAAATATTATCTGTTAATTTTGAATTATTTACAATACTTTCATGTGGACATATATATCATAGAAAATGTATAGAAAAAAAATTTTTACTTACAACAGAAAACA